CCACGATCAGCAGAAGTAATAAAAGAGTGCGTGTTCCAGGTAGAGAGTGGGATTAATTATTGTTGCCCACACGCTGGCGTTCATTACGTGAAAAGCAATAAAATATATTTTTTCTTTGGAATTCTAGAGGGTGTAGTAATTAAAAATAAAATCAACTTGTACATTTTAAAAGGATTTTTTGTTGTATTTATTAGATAACTAAAAGGAAATCAAACGGTTTAAATTCTCAATATTTTATTATTTTCAAAATAAGATTAAAACTTTGTTGATATATGTCACATAATATTTTCAACCTATAAAGGTTGACAAATTTTGATCGCACCTGAAAATTTTAATTTCATTGATTGCTGAACCGCAAACATAATCTTGGATTTGTTAAAATGGCAGAAAAATAAAAGCTTATTAAAATTTTTTTCATGCAACAATACAGTTTTTTGCTTTTGTACGTTTGAGAAAAAATAAATTTAATGATGGTATTAAGAAATTGTAATATTTTGAAGAAAATTAAAATCAGATATGCCTCAAAATAATCACCAAAACTTGATCCATCAATTTGAAAAATTTATTTGATCTATTTTTGCTTTTTTTTAAACAGGGTACCATGAACTCTATCCATATTTAAATTCCTGGACAAGTTGCCAAAAACAAGCATTCAATTAATTTACACCTTTTGGATATTTTACAGTCGGCGCTTCTTATCGATATCAAAAGTTATATAAAAACAAATGACCGAGCTTCCTAGAATCCCTAAAAAGCCAATTTATAATTTCGGACATGGAATCAAGCAACGCTCGTCGGAATACCAATGGAGATCAGTGAGGACGGCGAAACAATTTCCAAACTCTATTTTATCTAATAGCAAATCAGTCTTTCGATTCAACTCACACTCGTTTGTTTGAATAGAATGCTAATTTAGACATAAATACATTTTTTTTCGCAACGAGAGGCGAAAGCCGGACACGCGCATAAATTACTAATTCTCGGTTGGTTTGGAGAGTGTGCGGCCCTCACCCACGGCGAGACGATCCCCGCGCGCGACACACTAAAAAAAAATAGCACATTATAATATTATTCCCCGGCTAAAAGCCACGGACATCAATTTTTCCCTCGGCCGTGTCCGCCGCGCGAAATGAGTATTTATTTATCGCGCCTCCCGGGATAAGAGCCGTGGTCCGCTAATGCCATTGTGCTGTAATTTTCGTCCAATTGTTTAATTTTATGGCGTTGGGTGCGCGGTCCGCCCTCTTGCTTAATAATAATAAGCAGGCCACTCCTTGGCGAAACGGCTTAAGTGTGTAAAAGCGCCTCTTTTCAATCAAATGCCATTCTTTTTATAATAACAATAAAAATAACTTATGCATTTTAACTAAGCTCTCGAACGTATGTATATAAAAATATAAAGTGGGGGCCGTTTGCAAAATAAAGGTGTATCTCGCATTGTATATAAAACATATCTCGGCGGCGCAGGTGTGAAGGCGGGACAAGAGCCCTGGTCAATGAATTGGCCTTTGGAAATTCATTAGCAATTTGCATGTACAGCACCGAATATTCTTTTTTGCACGCCTTTTATTCCTGCGCGCGAAAGTGCCGTGAGCACTTCGGCGGAGAGGGCGGTTGTAGATTTTAAAATGAGAATGAATATCTCTGCGAGCTGGAGATGAATCGAAATAAATTAGTTGCGATTCAAAAACGTGTAACATGTGCTCGAGGGAGAATGGATTTTTTGAATTGGTCTTTAATGGTTAATTTTAAATTTAATTCCTCGTAGTCATAGAATTTGATTTAAAATAGATTAAGGTTTATTTAGTTCTTTCCATAATTTAATTGATTTGAAGTGGTAAATTGTTAAAAAGAAGGTGAAATCATTAAATATTTTTATAGATTATTAGCATTAAGAATTAATGTACGGAATATTATTTATAACATTTTCATTCTCATTGAATTGTTGACAATTTTAATAATGGCAAACAACCAATGAATATTGAATCTACCTTAACAATGTGCTCGTTGCGCTTGAAAAGTGACAATTATTATTTCTTAATTACATTTAATTTCATGAAATACATCTACAAATATAAAGAAGTTTATTTTCAAATAAAACTGATTTTAGGAACCTATTTTCCTCTTTGAATAATTTCATTAGCAAGTTATATTATTAAAAAAGTAAATGATTAAAATAATAAATAAATGTAATAAAAAATAAACTTCAAATAAATATTTTTTATTTTTTTACTGATATTATTTAAATAAAACTTGCATAAAAATTTAAATTAAAACAAATATGTAAGAAAATTTTGACAGTTAACTTATCTTTTTTCTTCAAGACGTCTCAATTGCCACAGAACCTTATTCCAACAGGTGCTAAAATCGCAATCACTCATCCTCTCTCTCACTCATAGTTAACTCTTTCGGCTCGAGAAATTCAATCTACAAAAAAGGCGCATCTCTTTAGTCTCTCTGGACAGCTTGGAGTGGATTTTTGAACAATGGGTCTCGACCCTTAAGCAGCACACGATGAGCCAGCACCTTAACTGCTCATTAATTATGTCACGCGCGCGATTATTTCAGCGGCCGACTGACGTGCGCATCTCTTATCGCCGATGCCCAATAATTAAAAATGGAACTGCACACGTGCTGCGCGCCCGAGTATTATTTGCTTGTTCTGTTGCTCTCGCTCGTTCTGTATCACCCGCGGGGCTGCTATCGCGACCGCCCCATCGCTGGGAAATAATTAAACGTGTCCATCATAATTACAGATCGAGATAGAGGCGTCAAGAATTAAACAATGCGCCACACAGAGTCGCCTAATGAACTTGGCCCGACCTTTTTTCGCGCTGTTAATAAAAAAATGGATCAGATATTGATCTTGATTTTGTTAATTATTTCAACTTGGAGGCTTCTAAAACAAATACATATATTTTACAGGAACAAGTTTGATGAGACTAAAAAAAACTTAATTTACATTAGAAATTAGAAAAAAGGTTTGTAGTTTTTTTACCATTTATAAGTTAATTAATTTTTTTTATAAAATTTTCAATTTTTTTCTAACAATGTCCAAAGAAATAATAAAAAATAGATAAAAAATACTATAAATTTTGCGATAAAACATATAAAAAATTAATAATAATTAATATTAATTTAATAATAAAGAAAAACAAATTAAAATCTATACTTTTTATATTAGTAATATTAAAAATTGATAATAATAGTATACGATGTAATGATTTTACATGAAATTAATTGAATTTTCTAAAAGCTTCATATCTCCTATATAAAGAAATTGCTTTGGACGCTTAAAATGTCTAATGTTTTTTGATGGAATAAAATCCGGGTTTGTTTTTCATCAAAAAGTGAACCGTGAGTGCCAAAAATTTCCACTACAACTGCATACCTCTATAAAAGTTTTTATGCAGCTTATTGCCAACGCCGTTTAGCAGGTTGCATTTGTAATTAAAATTTAGCTACTTTTTAACGTTAAACTGTGCTAGATGGGAATAGAAAAAATTTCTTTGGAAGTAGTTCAAATATATTGATACATACGAAATTTTAAATGCAATTTTACTGCGAAATATATTAATATTTAATTAACTAAAAAAGATAAAGAAATAAGTAAATTAATCAATCAAAATTAAAATTATTTGACGAATTTTGTCTCAAATTAATTGCAGGAGAGGGAAATTATTTACTTTGTATTACATACAATTTTCACTTGCAAATAAAAATCTACATCCATGACCATAACTCGCAGCAACGCGCTGGTTAGACCAAAGGAATTCGGTCTGCGCACGGCTTGTATACAGAAACACAATCTCCGACCGCGCGAGCTCCTTTTTAATTAAAAAGCGGGCGGCTCATCATAATTTGCATACGCGCGAGGAGTGAGTATGAAAAATAAAAGTGGGCAGAGAGCATTCCTGGAATGCCGAGGAATTCCGAGCCAAAAGGCAGCAGTCGCAGGTATAAAGAAACGCTCGCTCCATCTCCGTCCGCGGGAGACCCCCACTGTTCGGAACTTGTTCCAGACAGGTGGGGAATCGTAATCTTGACACCTCCGGACCATCATCCCAATGTAAACAAATATGAGCAGCAGCCGAGCGCAATTATTTATTGCTCGCCATTAATAACTGGGCCCTTAAAGCAGCGACTTTATTTCAAAAAGAGCAGAAAACTTTTAAACATTCTAACTTTATATATGTTAATTAATGCGACGAAGATTAATATATTTGTGAAGAGAAATTTTCTGCTTTTTTATTTGTCAGTAGTGAGGCGAGTTTTTTGCACCAGAGGGGGAGGACAAAGGAGAGATGTGTGACGAGACGTGTGTCGATGGCGTCGGGAATAACACGCTCGATTAATTAGAACAAATGGTCTTTGATTGAGTGAGGGATGATGCATCGTGTCCGAGAGAAGATAATCCTGGCGGCCAAATCCCCTGAGAGAGAGACCACCACACAAACAAGCCAGCCACCCAGCTCGCTTTCCTGCCTATTAGCGCCGCCACGCGCACTCGTTTTTCGCGCCTCGCTGCTGGAAAAAAGGAGACGGGGAAAAAACAGCGTGTACGTGATGAACTGATAAAGATACAGGGCACAGAGGTTAGCAATATTGATGAATGACGTCGCAAATTCAACGTCGTTGAAATTTTAAATTATACTTCATAAAAATCAAAATAATTTCATCTTTCTATATCAAATTTGCAGTTTTTCTAAATTTGCATAACATGTTTTTTTCTATTTCAAAATCATGAACATTTTTTATTTAAAATTATTATAAATAATCTTTGTTAGATAAAATCTGGATAAAATGTCCCATAATTTAAATAATGATTTATTAAGATTTTTTATTTGAGTCCCAGTAGAGGGTCAAATATTGTCATGCATTACACAAGTTAAGTTGTAATTTTAAATACTCTATTTCCTTTATTTATTAAGAATCAGCATAATTTCCATAGACATTCTTGTTGCATCGTCGCTGGCTGATGTGCTGAATTTGCAAACTCCACGTTTCATGTGTCATCTCACGCGACACCCAACATTACCATTATGAGACATTCTCTGCCTGTGCTCCGAGTAAAGAAGTGCGTTTATTCTTTCTTTGTAGGATAAAAAAAAGTGGTATTTTAGTTGCAAATTGTGTTTATTGATATATTTTTAAATAAGTAAGTTTTGAATATTTTCGTTTGTTACACTTGGCTCGTTTCATCAATCATTGCAATTGGTCTTCAAGTATCCAGCAACCCCATTCCTTGTATGAACAGCAAAAGGCCTTACCATAGAAGTTCGAAATCTTGCGTCTAGGAAAATGGTAAGCTAACAATAAGATTCATGGCCTATAAACTAAAATTTTTTTTTTCAAATTACAATCTGCACTCATATAAAAATATCCTTTAAATTCTTGTTGTTCTTTTATTTTAGTCTATAAATGTATTCATAATTTTTCTATAATATAGGAAAACTCGGGAAATAATTTGAAAACGGAAGAATGGCAACGAACTGGGGATTTGTGTACTGATTATCTTCATCTCTACTTATCATCTATTATGTATGATGTTACATTTCGAGTGGGAGATGCACGGTCGAAAAATTCATACCAAAAGGTAAATAAAATGTTTTCAATTTTAATAAGAGAGCAATTTTAAGATTGACTTTATGTAAAGATATTTTTAAACCATCAAAATTTAAAATTGAATGAGAAATTAATTATAATTGAAACGCTAATTTTTTCAATTTTAGATCTTCCATTGCCACAAGTTAATTTTGTCTGCGGCAAGCAAAGTCTTTCAAGCAATGTTTTATGGTTACTTTCAAGAGGCAAACAAAGGACCTGATGATGAAATTCTGATTGATGACTCTGAACCAGAAGTTTTTGATGCAGCAATGAGGTAAAGACATTAATTACACTTGAAGCTTTTCATATCCAAAAGAGATTTTAATCAAATTATTGATTAAATAGGTTCATCTATGGTCGGCAAATAGAAGTTTTTACAATTGAAGACATTGCTGCCAAGGTTTATAAGTTTGGAAACAAGTGGCAAATTGGCAGTCTTGTAAAGGCTTCGGAGAGATTTTTGGTGGAACCTTCACCTGAAAATGTTGCCTTAATTTATGACATTTTTAAGATGGTTGGGAACGAAGTCGGCGCGAAAAGGTGCTTGAAGGTGGTATATAATATTATAATCTAATAAATTTTCTACTAAAATCCTATAACTTTGATAATTTTAAGGTGATCGTCATGAATACAAACGCAGTGCTGAATAGTCCTCATTGGTGCAATATTTCAGAAGAACAATTGATGGATATTTTAAGTCAGAATGAACTCGACATCAGCTGTGAATGCGATTTACTAGAAGCCCTAATTCAGTGGGGATTGGCAAAGGTGAATGCAGAGGGCAATTGTGAAATTTCACATGACCAAGTGAGATCAGTCATCAATAAACCTCTTCAAAAGATCCGCTTCCTTTCCATGGGACATCAAGATTTTGCAAAATTTTGCATGAAGAATAAAAACAATATTTTCTCATCTAGTGAGAAACTTGACATAATGACGAGTTTGTCACTCAAATCGCCAGAAAGCTTGCCCAAGGATTTCAGCAAAGAGGACCAATCACGGTCTATTTTTGACAAAGCAATCATATTTGACCTGAAAACACGGTACAATGACAAAAGTATTGTGTATCCTAATGTATTTAAATTCAGTATTGACAAAGACGCTCGGCTATTAGGATTTAAATTTCTGTCATTTGAAGACATGCCGATTAATTTCAAACCCAACGCGTTGTACACTTTATTTGAGTTGTTAGATGGTTATAAATGTAATGAAAACTTTGACGAAAGTAAGTGCTCAAAAATTTGTGAAGGTAACACTGTCGATGATTATGATGAGATTGAGGAGGTTTGCAGGTTTAGGAAATCCCCTGTCATTGCCAATTATAAAAAATATGCAATTCGGGTAAAATATTTTAATGTAGATTGCACTTCTCTATCCGAGCACAAATATAAAAAGTATGATATTTTGAAAGGGGATATTCTATTTCTTGTGCTCTCCAAGAGTTGTTCCGCTGGCATAGGTGCTTTATTATTCCTTGAAATGCCTAGGCCTGAAAACTGAACACATCCTTTGACCTGGTTTACCAAAAAATATGGTCCAGGTTTTTTTGATCATCGCGGTTTAATGTATCTAAATTAGAAACAAAGAGCAGAAAAAAGTTATAATTTAATTTAGTCAGTTGAGTGATTGGAAATTAATTTATAAGCAAAGAATATCTATTATGATAATCTACATAATGTATTGGAGTAAAATAAATATATTTATTAACATAAAATCAGTCATTTCCAAAGTTTTTCTCTTCATTTTTATTACCACAGCAGTGTACGTTAAAAAATTTTGGAGAAAAAAGTTTGATATTGGCTGTAATTTTAGATAATCAATGAAAAATTTGTTTAATTTGTAGGCATGGTATTTTAATTGAAAATTATTTAATTTCAAATAAATTTAAATAAATTAATTGCAACTTTTGTGCAGTTCTTCTGTCTTTTTGTTACAATAAAATATGATCACATTATTTAATTAAACGTGCACCAAATGTAAGTAAAAATATAATTTAATATTTAAATCGAATTCTCCCTTCTTTAATTCTTGTATGAAATTATTAAATAAATTCAAATATTAATAAGTCCAGTTCCGAGTCAAATAAGTCGCCGAAACTCTGCAGGGAGGCAATTGCTGGGTGGCCCATTCATTCGTCGCAAGATAATTTCGTCTATTGCATGTTTCGACGCAATTAGCGTTCATTACAGTGATTAAAATATGAATAATAAATCTGGGGTGAGCGGCCGAGGCGCACAACAGAGCGCCAAAGAACACAGCCGAATGATTAATCCTGAAATAATAACAGTGCGCGGGCGAGAAAATCATGAAATTACGTGCACTATTTCTCGCGTGCAATAAAAACATCAAGAGAGAGAAAACTCTAATTACTCCTCCAAACTACTCAAAAGCTAATAATACATTTGCATATAAGACCCAAACTTTTAAACCAGAAAAAAATAGTTTATTGTAGGCAGGTGCTCCATACAACCACAAAAGTTAGCCCCAGGCACTAATTAAAAATCAAATAATAGAATAAAAAAATAATGCTCTGGTTTCGGCCTCACCTCTTGTGCATTCTTCACATTTTTATTACCTGTTTTAATTAGAAAAAGGTGGTGAGGCCGCTTGTCTTGGAGTAGATTTTTGATTAGAAAAAACTCGCCCCAAAGGTAAGGTGATGACAAGATGAAGTGAGAAAAGCGTTAATTAGCTTTTCTTTTTTAGGACTTAATTTATTTCAAATTCCTCAAGTTGAATTAATAATTCAAATTAATTGAATTTTTTTCTCGTATGTTTCAGATTGGATTAAACGGGCATAAAGGCAGGTGAAGTATGTGAAATTTATTATATACCACCTGGAAAAAAGTCCGAGGGCAGTCCGAACGTTAAATGCTCTCCGAGTCCCTGCAAATTATAACAATCGGCCGCCAATTCCGAGAAATTCGCCGCAGCAACTCTAAATTGACGGACATCAGACCGAGAGATATTAGCATAAATTTTTTGTGCCACGAGTGGGCCGAGAGAGTGATTCGGCGCGTGATTTACTGCGATTGACCATAAGGCTGCAACAATAAAAATGCGAGGGCCACAATTAGTGATTTCCGACATCGCACACAAACACAAAACTAAATTTACAAAGCACCGCCACACCAGCGTGCCGCCGGACTGCACGAATACGAACACATCGACGCGCGGATCAAGAGCATCAACTCGTTCACACAAAGTGGGACCTTCTCCAATGCGGGCTTTCCCTGAATAAATCAGAATTAAATCAATTCCGCTCAAAATTTAGATTACAAAAATTACTGCAGTTGAAGAACATATTGAAAAAGACCATTTTTAAAATGTCAAAATACGAGCGAAGCAAGAAACTCAGCTTGCATTACGGGAAATTAAGTGTGTTGAATGACCTGTGGCATGTGCATTTAATTTGAAAATCTAGTCTCAGAACTAAATATTATTATTAAATTTGTGGATTTGGTTCAATTAAAAAAATACAAATAAAAAAATAATATTCAAAAATTCTGTATCTTAAATTGTTTTACATTATAAAATTTAGAGGTGAAGAAATCGGGATTTTTTTCTCATTTTAAAAAGCTCGATTTCTTCCCTTCCGCATAATCATCTCCTCGAATGTCAATTTCTTTCAAACAAATAACAAATTATAAATTTTTCCTTTTAAAAATATTTTTTCTCTCACATTAGTTTTGCCTATTACAAATTATTGTAAAACTAAAAATTTGCGAAGAGGCCGGAAATGCAGATGGCCCTGGCCTCTCATAAGCACGCGGCCGTAAGGGATTTTCGTGGAAGATATTTTTTAATGAAGGCAATTATTATTTGGAGAGGCGATAGAGACGAGATATTATTAGGCCGAGAGAGGTTATACTTTTTCTCCGAGTTTGATGATTATATATTCGGAGAGCAGCAGGTACGGAACCGCGAGGCCCGCGGCGCCATTCGCTGATCTATATGTTCTTAAGCGTATAAATTAGTGCGCGGACCATGAGACCGAGAGCACTGACAAGCATATCATTATTATTATAAATAAAAAAAAAAATATCCGACCGAGTGACTGACTGTGAGTGACTGGTAAGGCACAGCACACACAAGCCGGTAATTTTTTTAATCGGGCGCGCTCGCCCCGGCCATTAAATATTTAAAACGGCCTCATGTTTTCATGCGAGCAGAGCAAACGGTGTAATTATCAATAATTCGTAACCCCTGCTGGCTATTGGGCGATTATCGCGGCGTCCATTGGTGGTCGGCCAGATCTGTGCGGGTGGATAAGTGGTAATTTGGACTCAATAAATTTCACAACGCATTAAGGTGTGATCGCGGCATAAATTATCAAACAGACGGAAATCTCGCTACGGCTCTCCCACTGCAAGCGAATGTGGCGAAATGCTTTTCCAGTCGGGCCGATTCTAATTGAATTTGGCGTGGAAAGAATCTTTCATGCGCCAAACAGAAAAAAAGAAAGGGCAATAAATCATCGGATTGTAAGTCGAGAGAGACAAAATCTTTCACCCAGGTCAATAAGTTGAAAATTAAATTTGAGAGAATGGGTGGGACTGGAACAATAAGTTTTTCAAGTGGAAATTGAAATCTATTTGATCCCTCTATATTTCAATTTCCAATTTATAATAAATAAAACAAAAGTAAAATAAATGGATAATCTAAGTTTAAAAATTTGTAATTAAGAAATAGAATATATTGAAAATTTATCTAAATTTTTAGTGGACTACAAGGTACCTTCAGGGTAATGAAATGTATTAAGAATTACTTAGAACAATTATAAGAAAAATTTTGAAATGAATTTAAATTCTGGGTAGAAATACATTGAATTAGTTTTGGAATGCTCTGTAAAATTTTTAAAATTGCACATACAAAAAAAAATTAAAATGTATTTTACTATATATATTTAACAATATATCTTAAAAGGAAAAATATTATTTTAATAGTTGATACAAAAAAAATTATTATTATTACCCTAAGTTGGTCTAGAAACACTTATTTATATCCTAAATTTCTTTGCCTTTAAAAAAAATCGCATTTGATATCTCAATTGTTCATACTTCCGTATTTTAAGTATTAACAACTTTTAATTGATTAAGTATTAAGAGTTATGCATTTTAAATAATTAAAAAGCTGTGATTTTACTTGAATAAATTTCTGATCAAAGAGCAAAATGTTTGACTTAAGGCAGCTTAAAAGAGTCATACAGTTTGCACGTGCCATCTGTTCAATACATTTAGTGATGCCTCTTTCACGATTCGAGTCGGCGAATATTAAATCGAAACGCATTATGCCGACGAGCACAATGCAGGAAACAATAATTCTCGCGCTCATCACCATAAAATCTGGCGGAGCAAAATGAGACGGGCTTATTGGTTTTCACCTTCGACTCGCAAACACACACACACTCTTTCTCGCCGCGCTTAGATTATTTAACAGCTCAATTTTCTGCATAATAAAAATAATTTTATGTCCGTCATAAATTTGTCAACTTTAAGAGAAACATTTCGAGAGTGTACATTCCTCATAAAGCTTTTGGAAAGAAAATCCGCGCGCGTCTCTCCGACCAAAATTCGCGCTCCTCCGCCTTTTATTTCGAGACTGAGGTGCCCAGCAATAATTACGACGATGATAAACACACGACAAATATAATCCGGCGGGCCGAGACCGACCGACACCTTCGGCCAATAAAACTCGTTTTTGCATAAAGTGAATTGTTCGTAAAATTTTTGCTCGTCAACGAGACACCTTCGGCTCTTTATGGCCCGCCTGCAAAAAAAGCAATTTAGACTTTATGGGCAGCGCGCGCTCTCGCGCCTCTTTTCGCATTTTGACGCTCAAGAGCCTCACGCTGGGCCTTTAATTATCGCGGGAGGGAAGAAAGGTCAAAACTGCCGAGCAGTAATCCCAATTTAATTTTCACGATTTGCATATTACCCGGCAAGGACATAACAAACTACACTTAGCGAGCGACAAACTTATCATTTAAAATAATAATAATAATATGAAAGTAGGAGTAAAATATATTTGAGGAAAGGTAATTTATTTTATTCCATTTGAAATTAGAGACGAAGAAAATTTAATTATTCAATTTTAATGAATTTCAAAACATAAAAACAAATTTAAATCACCATGAATCAACCCTCGATTGTGAAATTGTACTAAAAATTTAATTTCATTACTGCTACATTTTCTGTTAAAAACACGGGATATTAAACTTTTGCTTTAATAATGATACTGAGTTATTATTATTATTTTTTTTTACCGACAAGAAGTGAATTTTGTAATTTTCCTAATGCTTGCTTTGTGTACTTTTTTGCAATAAATATTTCATTTCTGTAACTAATCACGTCTAGACATAAAGGGAGGGAAAGATCGAACCAGTTATTATTTTAATAATATGTATTGATATATTATAAACCTGTGAACGGTTGTTATTTATATGTAATTTACGTGAAACAAAATTAATCTAAAAGCAGAAATGGCATTATGAAACTTATTTACATAATTTAAAAAAATTTTATTATTAAAAATAAAATAGTATTAAATATTTTTTATTTAATAAATATTGTCTTATGTATAAAAAAATTAGTTTTTTAATATAATCTTTAATTTTAAAAATTAACTATTTATTATTTAACTTTGCAATAACTTAATTTAAAACTTGCAAGTGATAGTGTGTTTTTTTTTATAACAAATTCTCATTTATTTTATTTTGAAAATAATAGTTTTGAATTCTTATGGTT